CTCCCGGCACCTGGCCAGCGAGGAGGTGCGCGCCGACTTCCAGCGCCGGCTGCCCTACAGCTACCTGCAGCGAGCCTACATCCAGGTAAGGCGGCGGCGGCGGCGGCCGCCCTCGCCCTCGGGGCTCCCCTGCGCCCTTGGGCCTTCCCCCTGGGCAGCCCCCGAAACCTGTTTGGGGAACGGGCGGGTTGTTCTGTGCCTCGGGGGCGCCCTTGACGGGGTGCCTGGGTAGCCCACCCTTTAGCCAAAAGGAGAAGAGAGGGCTACGTCGAAAGCCTGAGCCGTGACACACGAGGAATACGGGAGGCGGAGGGAAGAGGAGAACCAAAGGGAGTTGAGCACTAGTACAGCCCAGGTTCCAGTTATGTATGGCTAAAGGAAGAGTGACATCTGGTATCGGAGCTCTCCTTCCTTCCCTCTCTCTTGCTGGAGCAAGGGCAGGTGGAATCTGGAGAGAGAAGTAGGAAGGAAGTGTGCCTGGCAGTTCACATCCTGCAGTAGGGAGTTCAAGGTAGCCTTAAGGTGACTCTCCTCCACTCATAGCCTTACAGACAACTCTGTGCCATAGGCCAGGTTGAGAGAAGGAGTGTCACATCTCAGTGGGGGAGGAGAACCCAGATAGCCCCACCACCCCCACCCCCTAGGCCCCAGTGTGCCTTTCTAGTACTCTATTCTGCTGGCTCTCCTAAAGGTGTGGTGATCACATGAACCCTATCGCTCCCATTTTGGACCACTTAAGGCGCAGCCCAGAGCGAGCTATTGCTCAGCAAGGATGCCACACATGTGGAACATCTGTACAACATGACCCTGATCCATGGCCAAGCTGGACCTTTTCAGTCCATCAGTAGAGCTGCTACTTTTAGGGGGCCAGGGTGGAGCAGTTCCTCAGTGGAGGAAAGTGTATTTGCAGTCACACACACACCTTCCTCACTGCCTGAGTCTTAAAAGGGTGTCCTTGGTAGTTGTGAGTTTACGGTTTAAAATGGACTCATCTGTGTTTGTCGGCCATGGTTAGCTGCCTTCAGGAGTGTGGCATAGAGGAAAGGTGGGGTAACAATGCAGTAGACAAAGAAAGAAAGAAAGAAAGAAAGGGTAACAATGCAGTAGGTGGAAAGGTGGGGTAACAATGCAGTAGACGAAAGAAAGAAAGAAAGAAAGAGAAAGAAAGAAAGAAAGAAAGAAAGAAAGAAAGAAAGAAAGAAAGAAAGAAAGAAAGAAGAAAGAAGGAAGCCTTTTGTCAAATGGGAGGTCACTCTCCCACACCCTTCATACCTGGGACATGCCTACCTCCAGGTGAGCCTGGACTCACCTGATCAGAGACCTTCCCCAGCCATCCTTTTCATCTTTGCGTTCCTGTTCCCTGGCCCTTGTCTCCTGCCATCAACCTGCCTTCCCTCTGGATGAGGCACTCTGTGGCACACGCTGGATGTGATATTCTGCAGTAACTAACCTTCCTTCATCCCTGGGTAGCTTGCCGTGAGGTTAGCTGGGGTCAAAGCGCTGCACCTTGCAGTGTGAGAACCGGCTTTTCAAAGGAAGAGTGCTTGGGCCATGGACGGTCCACCCACCACCCTCGAGGTCCAGAGACAGGTGGTGGCCCCAGGCGGTCCCCTCCACCTCTCTTGCCAGAATCCTTAGGGAAGAGGGTGGCTGCAGTGATTTGGCAGGGCCTCCTGTGATCCTACCCCCATGAGAAAAATCAACTTTCTGTCTGGCAATTTGAGTCCCTGAAGTCTTGTCCAAAGGGGGCTGCGTGGGGATCTCCTCTCTCCCACGGCTTGGTGCCACCCGTTGTTGCTTGTCCTGCATTTTCTCTGCTGTTAAACGTTTGAGAAAAGAGTCTCCTCCTCCTTCCAAAGGAATTTGTTAGAATAGGGAAGAGGTTGGTGCAGATGCAGGAGGGAGCTTCAGGAGGTGGCAATATTGACTCTGAAGGGAAGACATGTACTTAAAAGCTTGTTCTGTGCTGTGACACATCGGTGCTGTGCTAAGTGCAATAGTTTGTTGCTTGTGATGAGAGTCAAAACACCCTTCTGGAGTCTGTCTGTTTGAAAGGCTCTGCATTTTTGGGGCTGCAGACTGGAGAATCCCTCAGCAGAGAAGGAATGCTTTCCAGCCCATTAAACCGGCAACAATACGTAGATTGAGGGAAGGAAAGACAAAGTAAGGCAGGATGAAGGGCAGTGTGGTCCTTTGTGAATGTGCTGCACGCTGTCTGGCTGGATGCTGGTATTCGTAGTGTGGTGAGAACTTAAGAATTCTCTGCCGTTGCTCATGGGGGCGGTGTTCTAGCTATTGATCAGAGGGAATCCTGAATTCTGGTGCAGGCATGTCAGGTCAAAGGGCACAAAAGTGCTAGAACTTAGCAGTGCAGATACAGACGGTTTTTAAGAGGAACAGAGTTTACTCAGTCCTGGAAGATGCAACTTCTTGGGCGGGCTTGAGAAGTTGAAAGTTGAGCCACCCCTTAATGAAGACTGACTTGCTTTGTGGCCTCCCAGCTTACAGTGGATGTACAGTACATGCTGTATCCTTCCATGCATAAAACTACACTGTTCCCTCAAATAATTAAAGGGAAAATTGAGGGTCGTTTTATAGTATATAATTTTGCAAAGAAAGTGGAGGGGGAGAGCAGGAATCAAAGTGCTTGGACCCCTCCCTTCCCCTTCCACTTTCTTGCAAAGAAAGAAATTTGGGGTTAGAAAAGTGGGGGGGGGGAGCATCTTATACATGGGGGCATCTTATGCATGGAAAAATACGGGGTAAGTTCTTTGATGGGGATGTGGAAACGGGAGAGGTCCACATGAGACGGAGGCAGCCCATCGCTTACTGCAAGGCAGCTGAGGTGCTGTCTCGTCAACCACGGTGCCCGTTGGAGAAAATGGGCTGTTTTTAGGGTTGTGGTGTGGGTGTCCCCGCTGTAGAGGGGACGTTTCCAGTTCTGATCTTGCCATGGTGGTGAAATGGCCAGGTGGCCAGAAGCAAACCGTCGTCTGCCCTCCTTAGATCTGTGCTTCTGAATTAAGCTGGTCTCTCTGACTGGGGAGTGGTAATGGCTTAGCTTTTAGGGGGAGGCCAGTGCACGTCCTACGGCAGCATCTGGTCTTCATTTAGAGGACTGTCCCTGGCAAAGGACCCATTAGTCAGGGCTGGGTCACATATTCCACCCAGGCCAATTCTGTGGCTTCTCTGGGTCTTTCTTACGGAAGGGGTGGAAATCCATGGAAGAACGAGAGGGCAAGATGGATCTTCAGGAGGGCAGGAAGGATTTTGAAGTGGGGAGAGGGGCAAGAGTGTTCCTTGGCACATACACACCCCGGGTAGGCCTCCTTCCGTCTTGAGAGACTATGGTATCATGCTCTGAATAGAGGTCTTGGAAGAGCGTCTAGTGTGGCCGAGGAGGCTGATACGATACACATCCCAACATGTTGGCTTGACTACAGTGGTAGACTGCTGCTGAACAGGGAGGTTTCTGTACAGCGCTAGTGCCTCGTACTTCTCGATGGACCCGTCCTTCATCACGAGATTATTGAAGCTTAAAAGCCAAATCATCTGGGCCTTGGGGTGTGTGTCAAGTGTCTTTCGAGCCAAAGGCTTCCGGAGCGACACTGTCCTCCCGCCTGGGAAGATTTACAAAACCCACAGGGAAGGTTTGCACTGGGATCATCTCATTTCCTTTATTAACATTGCGAAGACCTCTTCGCTTTCTGCAGAAGATCCCTGAGCAAAGAAAGGGATTAGAGTTGTATTTTCCTGGTCGCAGATCCGCAGCTAAGCACACATGGTGTCCTTCGACCCCGGCGTTTAGCTTCTCCAAAGCTGAAACGGAAATGAGATTAGGCCGGGCTTCCTGCCTTGCGTCCCGAACAGTCGTTCCGCGGGGCTGAGTTCGGCACCTTTGTTTTCTTTGTCCTGTGGGGGAGAGCGGCCGAGTTTGCAAAATCATCAGGCGCGCTGAAGGATGTTGAGAGCGGAGGCTCTCATAGCCTTCCTCCCACTGACCTTTTCTCCACTTGCTTGCTTGTTTCCGGAGTGACCTGAATCCTTGAAAATAAAATAAAATAAAACACCACCCGCTTTTTGGGTTGGCTGCACCCGATGAGAATGAATAATCCAGAGCTTTTTTTTAAAATTTGGGTCGGCAGGGACAGTTCCTTGGGGTGCAAACCCAGTATGCCGTTGACCGGGAGTTAAGTCTCATGGAAGTAGACCCGCGGGGATTGCAGACAAGAGCCAGCGTTGACAGAGGAAAGGAAAGTTCCTCCCTGGACAACAACTCCCAGCATCCACTGAGGTGTGTGATTGTGAGGAATAACCACAGGAGGGTGGAGGAGGCTGAGCCTACATGGTCGCTCTCGGGGGTTTGCTGTCCGAAAAAGGAACTGATACACAACAACGTGTGATGCAGAATCGCTGGCTCATGCATCAAACAGGGAATGAGCACAGTGTGAAAAATTTATCTAGTGCAAACTGTTGGAGAGCTGAGGGGTTGAGGTCTCTGGCTGAGGAGGCAGAGGTCAGGGATTTTCCCCCCCTCCCCCGGCCTCCTGGACAGGGGCTGGACTGGATGATCTCACAGGGTCCCTTCCAGCTCTGCCGTTCTAAGATTATGAGCTGGCTGGATGGCTCAGGGGTTCAGGTCTGTGGTTGCAGAGCCCTGGGCCTCCTTGACATGGGCTGGACTCAATCCGTTGGCTCCCTTCCAGCTCTGCTGTTCTAAGATTATCATCATTACTATCATCGACTCTTGGCGAATTTCAGTGGGAAGCTCTGCTTCTTTCCCCACCCAGCTCCTAAATGCATTGATGACCAGGTTTCTGGTGATGCTACAAGCGCCAGACCACACGGTGTGGTGGCATTAAGAGGGCTGCTCCTTCACAGGGTGACTGGGCGGAGCGGGACTCGCCCAGTGCCCACATCAGCAGCACAGCTGCCGGGCAAGCCTTCCCCCTGTGCTTTTGATAATTAGAGGCCTGCGGAGGGAAGACTTTCGAGGAAACGATGCCCACAGAGCGGCAGAGAGCCCGTCCTTGTCGAAGGCGTAATGCTCGCCTCCCCCACCCCGTCCCGTCCCGTCTCTCACCC